CTGCGATGAAAGACATTTGTGCTAAAACTACTAAAATCAAGAATAATTCGAAGTGGTGTTCCGAGGTTTTGACATGCGATGCGACTTTCAGACGTGAAAATTGAGGAAAATTAGGGTATACGCCAGGGTTGGGTTGATTTAAATCAGTTGATTTTTTTGATTTAAATCAACTTGATTTTTAAAATAAAAATCAGTGATTTAAATCACTTAAAAAAAAATAAATTTTTATTCGGTTTTTACACATTTCAACATTCAGAATTCCTTTCTTTTGTTTCATATAACAGATATAAGGTTCCGTAGACTAATATAATCATGCTTAAAAGTCTGATTTCCCCCCTTTCACTGTAAAATAATACAGTATTCAGTTGAGGAAAATTAGGGTATACGCCAGGGTTGGGTTGATTTAAATCAGTTGATTTTTAAAATTTTTTAATCAATTTGATTTTAAAAATAAAAATCAGTGATTTAAATCACTTTAAAAAAAAATGTATTCAGTTTTTACATATTTAAACTTTCAGAATTCCTTTCCTTGGTTTTATTTTAAACGAATATAAGGTTTAGTAGACTAATATAATCATGCTTAAAAGTCTGCTTTCCCCCCTGTCACTGTAAAATAATACAGTTCTCAATTTACTTTTTTTTCATAATTGAAAACCAGGGTTGGGTTGATTAATCAGTTGATTTTTTATTTTATTTAAATCAACTTGATTTTAAAAATAAAACTCAGTGATTTAAATCACTTCAAAAAATGTTTTCTGTTTTTACATCTTAAAACATTCAGAATTCCTTTCCTTGGTTTTATAAAACAGATATAAGGTTTAGTAATAGTAGACTAAAATTGCTTAAAAGTCTGCTTTCCCCCCCTGTCACTGTAAGTAGTAAAATAATACAGTATTCAATTTACTTTTTTTTCATAATTGAAATTAGCATTTTCTTTTTCTTTTTAGACAAACACAAGCGCGTGCTCACACACACACACTGTAATAAAATGTAAGTTAATCACAGTTTAGTAAGCTCATAAAAAAAACAAAAGCACTAAAAATCAGTTTTAAATCAAATTATAATGATCACAATTTCTTCTTGACTTTTAAAATCGCTTACAAATTTTTGGATAGAGGCACAGACACCATCCGGCACGTCCAGAGGCCGGATGGAACCACCGCTGAAACACAGGTAGACATTGCAAACAATAAATAGCTACATCTCTCTCCTCTAAAACAGTGCTTCCACTCTTCCGTATTTTTACGGAAATCCGTGCTTTCTGCCAGTTTCGCACTTGTTCCTCCATCATTATCAACTCCCTCCGTAAAAATCTGCGACAGCGTAGGACTACCGAAAATCCGTAGCAAAAGAACTGTACTTGCCTTTGTATCGTCTTGTACAATATAAGTTACGGATATTTACGGTAATTCTTTCGGCAACAGTTTGTTACGGTATAGAAATCTTGCCAGATTGCGCATTTCCTGCCATTGGCCATTAATCCGCTATGCCCCATGCATTCATTGCGGGTTGGTTGGCAGTACATTTTTTACCTGCAGATTGATAAAAATCTGACGAACTTTTTGCGCCACTTTCCTCCCTTCTATCATTCCCTCATTCCGTCTGTCTATCTTTGGATTGTTGCTGCGGCTGGAAAATCAGCGCGTTGATCAAGTATGTTTACTTGTGATCTTAGGAAATTACTGTCAGAAAGAAACTTTTTCGCAAATTTATTGTCTAGATCTAGAGAAATAAATTATCAGGGCGAAGATTCTACAGCACGGGAACGCGATAAGGGCCGCGATGAAAGACATTTGTGCTAAAACTACTAAAATCAAGAATAATTCGAAGTGGTGTTCCGAGGTTTTGACATGCGATGCGACTTTCAGACGTGAAAATTGAGGAAAATTAGGGTATACGCCAGGGTTGGGTTGATTTAAATCAGTTGATTTTTTTGATTTAAATCAACTTGATTTTTAAAATAAAAATCAGTGATTTAAATCACTTTAAAAAAAAAAAATTTTTATTCGGTTTTTACACATTTCAACATTCAGAATTCCTTTCTTTTGTTTCATATAACAGATATAAGGTTCCGTAGACTAATATAATCATGCTTAAAAGTCTGATTTCCCCCCTTTCACTGTAAAATAATACAGTATTCAGTTTACTTTTTTTTCCATAATTGAAATCAGAGCTGGGTTGATTTAAATCAGTTGATTTTTAAAATTTTTTAATCAATTTGATTTTAAAAATAAAAATCAGTGATTTAAATCACTTTAAAAAAAAATGTATTCAGTTTTTACATATTTAAACTTTCAGAATTCCTTTCCTTGGTTTTATTTTAAACGAATATAAGGTTTA